GCCATCGATTTAGCGACTTGAAATTTTGCGACGCAAACTATTGGTCGCTATTTCGGTCGCTAAATAACAAAATGAAAACCAATTCATATTTTGGTCGCTAAATCGGTCGCTAATTGCGACCGAATTAAAGTGGTCGCTGAATCGGTGCTAATTGCGACCGAATTAAAGTGGTCGCTAAATCGGTTTCTAATTGCGACTAAAATTAAATCGGTCGCTAATTGCGACCGAAAAAATTCGGTCGCTAATTTCGGTGGCTAAATGTGATTTTTCTTGTAGTGATTTACAATATGACATGATCTATTTAGATCCAACTCAACTTAACCTAATATGATTTATTCGGATAAAACTTGACTCATTCTAATACAATGTGGTTCGTCCTAACTTGAAGGAGGTGATAACAAACCAAACGTGGATTGATTATGAACAATAAAATAAATGTGTAATTTATTTTGTTCCATTATAATAATTGTGTTGTATGAGACCATATATATTTTAATATATTGACCATTTCTATAATTTTAGATTTGTGGTATAAACAAAATTATATAATGTTAACTCTAGTGAAATTCTCATCTTAACATTAATAAAAGGGTAACATAAAATAGTTATTTGTAGGCTTTAGGGTGACAATGCTAAATAACATCAAGAATAGACAGACAAGTCTCAAAGATCAATAGTGAAAGTATACTGTTTCTCTAGTGGCCTAAGTGATTTTGTTTGGAATGAGACAAGTTGAACATGAAATTTGGAATGACTTGATTAAAAAAAAAATCTCATAAATAATAACTAATATTTTAATAGTGAGAAGAACATAAGTAAGAGTATTTCTTCCTCCACCGCACTATTTTTTTTCTCCTAGTACTATTTTTTTTCTCCTATCTGTCATTCATTGTGAAGTAAACTTTTTAAATATAAAAAAAAAATGCATTCTAAAGTAAGAAGAAGGTGAAAGAGAAAAACAAGTACTGTAAAAATTTGAAACCTATATAAGGAAGTTTTGCCCGACAAGCTGTGCTAAGTGGTCCTTTGCAAGCATCAATGCTTCCAAACAGATTCCCCACGTTTTTCTTGTCATAAATTGGAGCAAATAGTAATACCAGTTGTCATAACTAGCTATCTGTTTCCTGTTTTTATGTTATTTTATATTTTTTAAATCCTTGGAATCACTAAGTTTAACGTAAAAAAAAATTACAATTGTTTTTAAATATATTATCCAATTTTTTTTAAGTTGATTATTTTTTTATCTAACGAAAAACTGCTGACGAAAAAAACCTATTTTCTACTAATGACAACCGTATCAAAACCCATTTTATATAAAATTATATTTTAGTTCTATTTGGAGTGTCTTCAACTTGATGCTCATGAACAAGTCTTAACGTACGGGGAAAGATATTCAGAAGAGGCCTGTTCTTTTTATTTAGTCTCAATCTTCATGAAAAACGTTTTGAGGGTAAATTTCCGACCATTTAAGGTGTTCAGGAGCCACCACTATCAAAGTGAATTTGATTCAGTTCTAAAATTAGATTTGATTTTGTGAAGAAAGTTTTGCATTTCATGTTTTAGATTTCTTTCGTAAATTAAAATTATACATGGATTTTAACTCACAAGTTTTAAATTAGTTATGTCAGCATTTGAAGATTAGAGATCTGACAATGAATATTTTTTGTATTAATTTTTTTAGAAATCACTACAAAAATTTATTAAATTGGTTTTTAGAAATATCAACCAACCTGAAAATAGAAATATTTTACCATTGTATTAACTAAATTAGAAACTTTTTTTAACAGAATTTGTTTTTAAATTAGAGTCTAGATTAGTTTCTAACTTAACTACTAATATTTTTTATTTACTAATTAATAACTAAAACCTTATACTTAAGATTAGAGACCAATTTATATTTTTAATTCAAGGTCACCAATCAATTTAAACTTTGATTCAGAACTCATGTTAACTAAAACAGTTTCTAATTCGATGAATATAATAATTAAATATTTTTATCTCTAAATTAACCACTATTTAATCATTTTTGTAGTTAATTATAATTATGATAGTGAAAGTTAATATTTACTATTATATTTAAATTATTTATTTTACAATAAAATAGTTAATTTAAGCATTGTGATGAAAAATAGTTAATTTAAATATTATGGTAGTTATTGACTGTCATTTTTTAAAATTAGTTATTTTAAAATATAAAATGTGTTTCCATGTAAATTGAAGTAAGAATGAAGTTGGTTGTTTTTTAGAATTTTAAAAATAAAAACAAAATAAAAGGAGAAAAAATGTAAAAATATGTAAAACATATACAATTTTTTAACTAGTCAATTGTGTTATGGTCAATCACTATCTTTCATATCCTTAAAGTTTGATGGCCAAATCATTCTCTAGTTATTAGATCATTAGATGGATGTTTTTCAAATTTCGTTAATTAAAATTGGTATAAAAATTAGATTAAAATACATTCCAATATAATTTTTTCAATGTTTTTAAAGTTAGACAAGAACTAGTAAAAACATGGTTCAGGTAAATGTTTAATCAGATTTAATAAAATAATATTTCTATAATATAATAAATTCATTAGTAATAAGATTTTTTTTATAAAAGATGATAAATATAAAATATAAAAGGGATATTTATTAAAATAAGATAAAATTTTAATAAAATAATTATTATTTAAAGTTGATATAAGATAAAAAAACATTAAAATATATTATATTTTTTATAAAAAATTATATTAAAAAATTAATCCTTTTTTTTATCAAAATCGTTTCAATTAAAAAATTTAATCAATTTTATTAGTTTTATCTTAGTTGTTCCAAGATTCGGTTATTTAAATATAATTGACCTATTTTCTAATTTGATTTTTGGTTAGACATAGACTCGAAGTCATCCATCCATCTTATCTGATTTTTAAAACAATATATTTTTGTGTTAGTATTAAGGAGTTGACTTCTGCATCCTCTTCAGCCGTTTAATTCTTCTTCATTTTGTGATCTGATCTGACTCCGTTATCCCTCATTTTCTTTTTCTTTTTTTCATCCTTTCCTTATTTCCAAAACACCCAACGCTAAGGCTATGGTGACCTTCAAACAAATCTTTTATTCCTTCCGTTTAGAGCTTGGTTCCTAAAGTTTCTATGGTAAGGACTTCACTTCTTCATGGCCGAATTTTGTCCCCTCTCTAACAATGTGTTTTTGCTTTGACTTTCATCCATAAAAATATCAGGTGTTTTTCTATATGCTGCTTCCATGGGAGAAGATTCCTCCCATTTTCTCCATCTCAAAAGCTTCACAATCTTTGTGCTTCGAGGTTAAGGAAAGATTACCCTTTCTTTTTAGTTGACGAAAATATTGTGTTAAAAATGAGTAGCTTTGGTTGAAATTGGACGATTATATATATAATCTTGAATGACCAAATTTTTTATGAATGTTTGTATTTCTGTGGAAATTTTTTATATTTGTTAAATATGTGATTTTCATGAATACGTTGGTTGAAAGTTTGGCTTATTGAGTTATGATTTGGGGGTCTATGATGGGCTTGAAGTTTTCTCATTTCGTTGTGATTGTGTGGATGGTTGGTTGTGCCTAAAATGTTGGTTTACTGTCTAAATTTGGTTTAAGCGAATTTAAGAAAATTTTATAAGTTTTGTGACCAAAAGTTACTTACAGAACCAAATTTTTGTGTCGGTGTATTTCTGCATTTTGAACCTTTAGTGGAAACTTCATGGAAAATTGAATAACTCCAAGAAAACCACCTCCTCTGTAGCAGTAAAACACCCGATATGAAAAAAAGAAAAAAAAGAAAAAAAAAAGGAGATAGTCCACCATCCTAAAAGAGATGACAGGACAAGGGAGAACGTGTGGTTTCTGATAAGTTTTCTACCGACAAAACATTATCATTACCGAATCAAATACAATTTGAATCATTCAAATGTTATATATTTTGGTAGTAAAACCTTGTATAATTCCTAATATAGTGTGTATTGCTAATATCTTTTTAGATATTTCACTAAAGAATATATTAAAAAAATATACTATAAAGAAGTAAAAACCTTTTGTAAATAGGAAATGGTTAACATAATAACATTCTTACCCATATAGAAATAATAATGTGAATTACACAAATGTATGTGAGATATGTCACTTGTTTCTTTCATATAAAAAATTATGTAATATAAAAATTATAAATAATAAATTAAGTTGTATAAGTGTGTAGCGTATAAATTATATTTATAAAAATTATTCATGCATTTATTCACTTTTCTTCCATTGTAAATTAGGTGCATGAGTCAATGAGTCGATAACTGACTGGTTAGGAGTGAAAATGCATTTTAACAGTTCATGGGAGTGAAAATGAAATAGATAAAAAATTAAGAGAAAATTGTGAGATAAAATATCAAAATGATGTTGGTAAAGTTTTAGTTTAGTGAATTTAAAATTAAATTAGACGCTTCATCAGTTACTATACAGAAATACTGGTGCTCCTTTTTAATCCCTAATCAAATCATCTCTCCTATTCACAAAGACGAATCAGTCTTTGAACAATTTTTTTGAACAACGTTTTGATTTTAATTGAACTAAGCTAATTACACTTAGATGCTTAGCTAACATATTTACACTATATATTAAGTACAAATATATATAACAATACCCTACAATAAAAAGTAAAACACATAATTAACAAATCATAACACAAATACCCCATATATTATGTAGTTGAGTATCAGAGCTACACAACTGGAAAAGAGAGTTTACAGAAATTACACACACATAACAAAGGCTTACAACCAGCACCCAAATACTGAGACAAAGTGGCACCTCTAGAAAGACAATAAAATTATATGCGATATAGGAGTAAAACGTGCCCCATGCAGACCAACAATAAACATACTCTCCAGATACACGATAAAGAAATTGCAGGACAGCGATAATATGCTATTATTTCTCAAGTAAATGAGATATTATTATCATACCTATACTTTCTTTTCTCTCTGTTCGATGTTAATTACCAGTTTGGTGTTCATCCATAACTTTCCCCTGCCAAATGCGGAAACCATCGAAGTTTTGGATTCCGTTTCCATTGTTGTTGTAGGTGTCACGAATTGCAGAACTGTTGTCCCTGGCGTTGAGCTTGTTAGACTCGTCTCGATTGTCAATCGTTGCCCCCCTGAAAGTTTGTGGGCGTAAACTGCTGTTGGTAAAGGAATTTTTAGTTCTAGAAGTGTAAACCTCTGCATGACTGAGATCTTGTAAACCCGATTTGTTATTGTTGTAGGAATTTGTACTTGCAAGACTGTTAACCCTACAATAGCTGTAATTTTGCTCCCCATCGCCATTGTTGTTAAAGCAGTTATAAGTTGCATAGCCATGGTCAGTGAAATTGTCAGTTTCGCAGGGATTATTGGGGGAAGTATTGAAGCGGTCCCCTTTGTAGTTGTCATGTTTTTTAGGGTTATTGGTTTCTTTGCTTCCTCTTACCATCTTGTTTGATTGGCGTGTCTCTTTATCACTCCCACTGGAACTAGCTGGCGGACAGTTGTTGGTTTTTCTAGGGTTAGCCTCTCTTCCCTGGCCCTTGCCGTTTGATTTCTCTATGATTTTCCATAGCCAATTGGAAGTTGGCAACGTTGCAATTTGAGAAACAGTGAGAAGATGAGCTGCTAATACAAGCTGCAAAAAGAGCACAAAGACAACAGATAGAGCTTCGCTAATGAAGGAAATCACACATTTAGGAGAAATGGAGAATGGGGAAGCTCCACAAATTGGCGCGTCCAAGGAGAGTTCTGCAAAGAGATATGAATAAAGTAGGTGAATCACAAGGTTTGTGAGTTTGAAGAGCAAAGAGTTAATCAAGCATTACACTTCTTCTACTAATGCAAATTTTAATAAAGATAAAGAATGGATTCTAGCATAAGTGAAGACTGAAAATATTAAAATTGTAAATATGAATGAATTCATGTAAAGATATGAATCTACCTGCATGTTCCATGAGTTTGGGTTTGCCCGTGGTGGTTGAAGCTTTGGAATTTGATACCTACAGCAAAAGTTCTCAAATGATCAGCAAAAAACTTTCTGGGTAAAGGAAAAATCGGGTATTTTATAAGGGTATTATAAAATATTATAAATTACATAGTATAAGTGTGTGGTCTATAAGCTATATTTAAGTTAACAAAACACTGATGCATATTATATATGATTTCACTCTTTTTGTAAAGGTGTATGACTTATTTTCATGGGAAATGGGTGGAATAAAGACTATGTTTTAAAAAAATCATGATAATGGTTTCACCTTTTTTGTATTATCTATTAGAAGTGTGACTTGCTATAATGGGAAATGGTGGTAATATAGAAAGAGAAAAGAAAAAAGAAGAAGAAGAAGGAGGGATACAAAGTGATAGATGATGGAGGATTAGGGAGATCTGAGTAAAAAGAAAATCTCAAAATTGGTAAAACTTTTAAAACTTACGTCAGTGTTTATTCACTATACCAAAAACTCGTAATTTTGTCTTCAAAAATCTTATACCCAACTATAAGCGTTTTTGTAGTTAGCAAATTATTAATTTGAATAAGCTGTAATCAGTGTTCACTTTATGAGTTATCAAACCATTGATTTCGACCCTAACGGTTCATTAATTTGTTAACCCATCTTGTCCAAGGTCCCAAGAGATCCCCTCCTTTGTAACCACGTTTGCATGTTTCAAAACCTGCAGGAGCATCCAAGGAGTAGAAAACTTGGGGCACGCAACCCTCTCTGTGGATATAGAAATTTTAATAATGAAACAGACAATTAAGAGAGAAAAAGGGAGATAAATAGGACTGAAATCCCATAAAACGAAGCAAACAGGTTTTGTTAGTTCCTTACACAACAGGATCGATCTCGTGAGTTGCGCCCTAACTTCATAACAAGAGGAAGAAAAAAGTCTCAGGTCCAAACGACTAGATCCACAGGTAGACAAGCAAAAGGTGACCAACTAGGGTTGAAATGAACCCTATACTACTTATTTGAAGACCAGAACTGACCATCTATGACCCCTAACAAATGAAAAATAAGCTTGAGGTTTTGGTGTGCTGACTGTTGTTGGGGTACCCACCTGACAATGGGGTTGGCTCGAATTGGTTGGCTGGTATAGTGATCTTCCAATCACTAACTCAGGAGCAGTGAAGTTGTACAGGAGTGCAAACAATCCCATTTTTTCAGTAGATTGAAGTTGTAAAAAAGGGAGAGAAAAAAGTATAAACAAGTGAATATAACATGTTTAACGAAAGATAGATATAATAAAAAGGAAAGAGGAGTAATAAGAAAACTCTATAGATGCAAGCTTGAGAACTCAAACCTCAGTAGAATTCTGCTTCATATTTTCTTCTTCGATCGAAATATGCGAGGATAAGAGGGTTATATAGCAAGTTGTTTTAGCTCAATGTGTTAGGTGTAGAAAGTGATGCAAATTTCATAAATATCACAGAAGCTATAAAAGAAAGTTCTAGAAATGTTTAGATATATCTAGAATAAAACTGGAATATGTAATCGAAATTCATATAATAAAGAAAGTATTACAAGTTTTTGAAATTGGTAATCGCTATCATAAAGCCCGTGAAGGAAGCCTATAAAGACAAACACACAATGTAGTCAATGAATAGAAGATCTCAGCCTCCATTCACAATACAAAATCTATCTTCTACACTTTTTTATAAAATTCTCTCCACATCGATCATGTAATTTCTTATCTATTTAATATCTCTCCTGAAATAGTATGGGAACATTTTTTACCACTATTGTTTTGGATATTTTTTATCACTATTATAAATATCATGTTATTTATATCAAATAGAATGTTTCATGAATAAGATTGAACGAGAGGGGATCATGTTTTTTTTTTTTTAGCCAAATATGTTAAAGAAAGTGTTATAAGTAAATATCATAGTGTGTTGTTATAGTGTGCATGATGAGAAAATAAAGAGAAGGATAGAAAAAAAAGTTAGTGAAAAAATGGTTTGATACGAGCCACTTATTACTTGTGATTTCTTTTATTTTAACTAGTAAATAATATTTGTTTTTGAATTTAGACAATGTTTGAAATTTTTTAAAATGTGGAAATGTAAATTACCTCTAAGAGTAAATTGTTGTAAGTGTAAATTGCAAGAAATGTAAATTACTACAAATGTAAATTATTAAAAATATAAATTACAGAAAACGTAAATCACTAAGAATAGAAAAGAAACTGGTACAAAAAATCAATAAAAATAATGACCAAATTATCAAGAATTCAATTGAAATAACATTTTTCTTGTTCCATACATTTTTCAAAATACAAGTGTTTTAATACAATTTGTCACCTTTTTATAGTTATTTGATCATATTTATACTTATTATTTTTTGTAACTTCTAAGAAAATAAAACAAACCAAACATAAATAAAAAATGATTTTTTTCCTATTAATCGTTTTTGCCCCTTTCGAGCAGTCTTATTAGTACATGTGGTGTTATAATCGTTTCTATCAAACTATGAACCTACAATTGCTCTGTATTTCCTTCAATTTTATAACTTCTTCTTGACTTGTTTCTTGTCTTCGTCAATTCTTTGATTTTAATCTATCATCTGATTCTTCAATTCTATTTATTTCCCTTCTCTTGATTCTTTAATCCTATTTTATCCTATGATTCTTCGATTTTTCCTTTCATCTTTTTTAGAATCCTCAATTTTTCTCATTCGATATCTTATCTTTTTATTACCTTCAATATTCCAGTCTTTTGTTCCCCTTCTCTCTTTATGACCTTGATTTTTAATTCTTGCTCTTACTTGATATATTTACTAACTAATTCTTTCGATTTATTAGTAAATTTGTATCCCATTAAGTAAACAATCTCTTAGGAAAACAATCAAATTTTTTAGAACCTTTTGTCTCCTTTTTATTTGTTCGTGATTATATATGATATGATATAAATGCTTTTAAGTATTTGCCATTAATCAAATAAATGTGATTGTCTATTGTAATAATTAACACTACATGAGCCTTGTTTGAAAACATCTTAAGAATATGGAAGGGTACTTCCTAATTTGAAGACCACTTTCTAAAATACTTCAATTTTTTATCTATAGGCAAAATAACCTTCCACACAATATCACCCTCTTTAAAGCCTTTGTTATTTCTTATTTGTTTATTAAAAGATCTAACAATTCAATTTTTTTGATGTAATATTTTCTATAGAGTACTAATCATAACTTCATCTAATTCATTCAACTATTGAACATCTTATCCATATATTTCGATTTAGGGATATCATTTTATCTTTAAATCTGAACTGATTGAATATTAATTTCAATGGGCAACATAACATTGTGACCATAAACCAATTTATATGGAATTGTTTTTATAAAATCTTTTGGAAAATTTCTGTAAGCCCATGATACTTAGAGTATCATTTCATGCCAAAATTTTGGCTTATCCCCAATATGTTTTTTAAATAAATTGATTAAAACCTTGTTAATCATTTTCACTTGTCCATTTGCCTGAGCATAAGAATGGGTTGATGCTAATAACTTAATATTTCTTAATTCAATATAATTTACATTTTTCTTTCTAGTGAACATTGTCCCTCGATCAGTTGATATTAACTCAAGAATCCAAATCAATACATAATATATTCATTTATATAATCAATCACATATTTTTTACTGACGTCTCTTAATGGCATGACTTCTACCCATTTAGTAAAATAATTTACTGCCATGATAATGTACTTATGCCCTTTAAATGACTATCGATAAATTTGTCCAACTAAATCTATTGTCCACCCTCTAAAAGGCAAAAATTTAATTGTTGAATGTAACTCACTTGTTGGTGCATTTTGAATTGTTCCAAATTTTTTACATTCTTCACAAGTCTTAGCTTATTTAATACAATCTTTTTAAATCGGAGACCAATAACACCCTTGTCGATTTGGCGAGAGCATTCTAGTCACACAAAATACTGATAAAAAAATAAACAAATTGCTAAACCAACAAAATATTGCTAACTCGTGTTGAATCTTACAAGAACACAATTATAAGAACATGCTCATTGTCAAACATTATTCTCTCTAAAAATAATAAGTAAAAATAAATACAGGGGTTAATGATAATAAAATGAAAGAGTGAAAAAAATGATGGAGAATAATAAAATTTAAAATCAAATTACAAGTAGAATAATAACGATAATTAAATTAAATTGAAACAAAATTTAAATAACTAGAATTTACAGAATTAAAACATAATGCTTTTAATTAAATTTCAAAATTGGCAAAATAAAAAATTGTTTTAAAATGAAAGAGTGTAGTAATTAAATTTAAAATTTCTGAAAGTGATAAACCTAAAATTAAATTGAGAATTGATGTGGAACTAAGTAATAAAAGAAAACCAAACAGTAAAAAAATGGATTCAAAAATTAAAATTTGTGTGTGAGTGAAATTGCATGAAAATAATAAAATTGTAATTGAAATTGGAAAAGAAATGAATTGAAAATAAAAATTTTAAACAATTAAGTAATAGAAAATTAAACTGGACACTCGAATGAATAAGTAAACAAAACAATATAAACTAAAAATATTGTTGCTCTTGTTACGCTCCCGCTGTCACATCTAGAGTAATCATTCCCTCTGAATTCAATGATTTTCTACTAAAATCGGAAACCATTATGTTATTCTTCACCAAATCCTCCTCTTTCTCTCCAAATTGCCTTAACATCAATTTGAGTAAGATGTTTATTGTTGCCCCTCCATCGAAAAAAACTTTGTTTACTTTAACTCCTTCGATTTTTGTTTTATAGTATGAGAGGTTTTAGGTGAAACCTCTTTTTCTCAGTAGGTGGATTGATAAAAGCAGCATTTTGATTAGGGGGATTCACAAGATATTTGTGTAACCCACACTCTCTAGGGCTCGAGTCTTGATTCATAGTAATCTTCTCGATACAAATCACCTCTCCTTTTATCTTCATATTGATTTGAGTACATCATAGGCAATATCGAGATGACTCCGACATTCATGTTCCCTTGATGCAAACTTACACACATACCCTCTCTTTGATTAATCAAGGTTCTAGTATACACTTGATTAGCCTGACTCAAACTTTCCCTATCCATATGTCTGACTCTTGACACTTTCCTCTACAAAGGTTCAAAATCATACCCAAGGAACTCCTCGACAAAATTCCTTTTAGTACCTTGCGTAGCAAATGTATAAATCTGGACTATATGACAATTGATAAAGAAGATTGTGAAAAAGATCATTAAATGATTTGATGAAGTCAAAAGAAGGATTGCAATTTAAATATTTAGTGTGTGTCTGCATGTAGTTTGCAATTAATATAAGCATTAATCCTTATTTCAAGTCTTTACAAAATGCAAAAGAAAAAAGTGCCTCAAAGTAGTTTTAATCGATTAAAAAATATTTTTAATATGTTAATATGTTCTTCTTTTGTAATTTTAATCAATTCATTTTTGTTTTAATTGATTAAATCCACTAAAAACAGAATAAAAACGTCATGCTTCACATTTTTAATTGATTCATTTTCGTTTTAATCGATTAAATTTACTTGAACAGAAAAAGGATTTTAAGGTTTGTTGTTTTAATTGATTAATAGTAGTTGTAATCTGTTAAAATGTTCTTAACTTGAAACTGAAAACTTGAAGAATTGTTTTAATCAATTAATACCAGATTTTTATTAGTTAATTTGTTTCTTGAAAGATCACAAAATTGTTTTAATCGATTAATTCAGAGTTTGTATTAATTAAATTGTCTCTGGAAAAATTCTCAAGACTGTTTCAATCGATTAAACTAGATTTATATTAGTTAAAACAACTTAATCAAGTTTTGCTACAAATTATTTTCAGTTATTTTAATCAATTAAAAGATGAATTAATCAATTAAAAACAACAATTTTTTCTTCAAACACTTCTATATAAACAGATGTACATCTTCAAATTAAGTACACTTTTGAGAATACAATCTTCCTATCATTTACGAATCATCTTGAGTGAAAAGAGAATTTTATTCGTTCAAGATCTTTGAGAAAATTTCTAATTGAGGCATTCTTGTTCTTTTGTTTTGGAGTATCTTGACTTGAGTTTGGATTTCTGCAATAGTTTGATTTGTCTCTCTTAAACTATTTTTCTTTACTTTGAATATGTTCTCGAGGTGTCTGGAAGTCTTGGACATTGTTTGTGCAACTAGAAGTGTTGGTTTCTTGTTCAAGAACTAGTTGTAGTTCTTGGGGTATATAGGTTTTTCTACTAGTTGTAATTTATAATCAAGATAACTTTGATTAGTGGAACTCAACTAGAAATTGGTTGAGAACTGGATGTAGTCCTGTAAATTGGGTGA